GAGTGTGTAATCCAGGCGGGTTATGGTGACTTGCAGGTAGGTACATCCATCTGTGGTTCAGCGATTCCAAGTATCCTGAAGATGAAACAGACTTGAGTCCAAACACCAAAAAATCCAAGCACAAAAAACCAGATAAATCCAAAAACTGTGACAGCACAAATGTCTGAGCAGAGACCAAGTAAAACCTAGTACTGAGTGGCAAGATTCTACCGTGAGTAGTTAATCATCCAGCGATGTGAAGTGGTTCCCTCTCCTCTTAAATAGAGCTCTGCTGCGGTTGATTAGAGGATCTGCAGCTGCCGCTGATCGGTAATGCCCCACAGCTGGTGAGCACTGCTGGACTGACCATAGGGCATAGCGGGCAATTGCCCGCTGGGCCGACCCTTTCATCTTTTATGGGCTGGTGTCTGTTTTTTTTTTTTTTTTTTTTCTGGCCTCTAGTTGTTGCGGACAACTTGTCCGCGCCGCCCCACGCGACGCCTCGTAAAAGTTGGTGGATTGGCCAATTGGTAATAATACACTCTGGGCTGGACCAATAGCCAGAGGTCTGATGCACCCGCCAGTTGTTTGTGAATCTCAGTAAACAGACAGACGAGCTTTACAAAATGGAGAACAAAAATCGGAAAGCTGGAGCGGAGAAAATTCGACTAAAAAAGAGACTGGCCCTTCAGGCTGATGCTGGCACATGTGTTAAAATCTCACAGTTGTTTGGTAGTGAAGGTTCAAGTAAAATCAATTTAGGAAGTGATGGAGCCTCAGCCCAGCGACAGATTGGAGAAGAAAAGAGGGAGGAGGAGGAGAAACCCGAGCCGGTGTTGTGCCATTAATCGACTCGCTGCCAAAAAATGATTAGCCACCGCGGGATCGCGCACGGTGAGGTAATTGCATTTCTAGACAAAATTCCCCAGGATTTCGCCCTAAAACTCGGCATATCTAGCAATATGGACATTCGGAAAGCAAAGATAACCTCTTCCGGTACTTAAACAGATGTTTATCGCGGATATTAGTGTGGCAGTGTTTGTGGCACCCTGCGCGGGCGCTCGAGGACGTGCTTGTGGAAAGAGGGAGGAAGATGTGACAGTGAGCATCCTGTCACAATGTCCCGATTGATCTTGCGCCCTGGCTACTTGGCCAAGGCGATGTCCCTTTGGCTGAGTGGTTAGAGAGTATGACTCTCACCTCAAAGGTCTGGGGATCGAATCCCGCTCGGACATTGTTTCTTCACCTTGCCACATAAGTTTTTCCAGTTCGGAAGTTGTTTTAAGTGTTGCTATTTGTTTTAAACGTTCACAATGAGGATATATTAATCCTTTTTGCAATATTTGCGATTGAAAGATGGTTTGTGATAAGAACTGGCTTTCTTTATGTTACAGCCTTGATACTAAAAAAATAAATAAACAATGTAAAATGGCACCATGTATTGAATGTAAACGTTGTATAAATGTAAATAAACAATTCTCCAGCGATTTAATTTTTTCCCCTTCCTTTCTTTAGTCCACTTGACATGGAGCCATGGTTAACTAGTTTGGGGCACATTTTTACTTGGAAAAATAGTATTTAAACTGATCAAGCTTTGGCTTTACAATGACACTGTGTAAGTTGCTAAACATTACCTTGCTCTATTTAAAAGTAACAAGATAAAAGCACTTCAGCACATACAATTAAGATTGTCACTTGCCAAATAGACTACACCCTCCCGTTTACCTATAAGAAACGCCTCAAAATGTCTTTAAATTCTTTATTGATGATTTAATTGTAGACAACTAAAATGGCATTTTACTTGCCAAAAAGTGATTGAATCGCTCAGATTTTCATGGAGGCTAAAATTGACCAAATAAGGGTTTTATGTATTATCTGTTGATGTTACTGTACTCATACTGCCTACTGTATCATCAAAAACACCCCAAAAATGGCAAAAAAAAAAAAAAAAAAAAAAGATCATTTCCCTTGCCAAAAATTGATTACAGTGTCCTGGTCACCTAAAGGGTTACATTTATTATCTCTTGATGTTATTAGTTCCATCACAGGATGCTGGGTGTCTTCCACATTCATAAACACCTAAAAAATGGCAACAAATGATAATTTCCCTTGCCAAAAATTGATCACAGTGTCCTGGTCACCCATAAAGGCTTAAATTGGCATAAATATGACTTCATTTATTATGATGCTAAGTGTGTTCCACAATCATATTCGAATAAACATGAAAATATTCCATCCGAATATCTGTTTCTTGTTATAAATATAACAGCTAGAAGGATTTACAGTTAAAATAGGAGAAACATTTCAGGAAACTATTGTCAGTTAACCACAGAAATAGGGACTAATAACATCAAGAGATAATAAATAAGGTAATATTTAGGTAAATTTAACCCTTTACACGTGACTCCCCAGGAAGGGTCGTAACACCACTTGCCTCATGCACATAAGTGACCAAAACAAAGCAGCATGGAGACACTCCGTCTCCAACCACCTCTCAGGCAGCAGCCTGCATGATCTACACGTCACCAGAATATAAACAACCGCAACACAATAAAAGCAGTGTTATACAAAATGGAAGGCCTGTAGTGTTTATTCTCTTACAGTAACAACTTATCAATTTTTTGGAGGAATTTATTTGAGATTTTTTGGTTTTTATTAATTGTGCAATAGAAAAATAATCGCTAAATTAATCATCTAAATAGTCATTAGAATAGTTGACTATTCGATAAAATAATCGTCAGAATAATCATTTTAAAAATAATCATTTGCCCCCAACCCTACTTTTTTAGAATACCAGGATAGGAAGGATGGTGTAGGTTTACGTTTATTAGATTGATACATAAATACTACCAATAAGAAAGTGTACGTTGGTGTGTGTCAGAAACAGCGTAAGGCTTAATGTCTTTTCCAAAAAAACCAGGTGATGGGCCGGTCTCCAATCAAAATGCCCGGGCTGAATTTTTGTCCCAGTCCAGCCCTGCTGGTGAGTGCCCTCTCCTGGAATGACAGTCTTACAAAGATGTTGTGGAGAAGAGGGAGTACTCACCCCGTCACACAACAGACACTTTGAGAATGTTACTGTGGCCGTGCTCAGGACGCTTCTGTCTGGAGCACATTAACAATCAGAGCTCAGCGCCTCTCAGCTCTAAATAATCCCCAGAGAGTCCACATAGATAATGTAATAGCAGTAGAACCAAGATCGTTTCGGGCTCGCCCTGGATGTGTTGAGGGCTTCCAGTTTGTCGCGTTAGTGGCCGGATCCTAGCAAACTGTTGCCGGAACGGTACTTTCAAAATAAGATAGTTCCCAGATCTTGTTCCGGCAAGATCCGGCTCAAATTAAGCCCTGGATGGAAGACCGGAAAAAGGGCACTTTGGACAAAAGGGGCAGGTGCTCAAGCACCCTCCGCCTCCACCCCTCTGCATGTGCCTGCCGCCGCCCCACTCATGGAACCAAACACCTCCGACTCAGAGACCTTGTTGGAAATGCCATACGCCACACCCTTAATCACACAACCAGACCTCGACTCGGAAACCACCATGTCCACCCCCAGAAACTTCTCAAGCCGCAGCGCTGTGACTTATTCCGGCACACCACCACCAACAGCCCACTGAACACCATGGTAGCGTCTAGCACATCCTGTACCACAGCACTCAGCTCCCTGGACACCGCCAACGGGTTAGAGGTAGCAAAACGCGCAACCACCCAAACAATCCTTGAAGTCAGCCCAAATCCAGGCCTGCTTTAACGCTCCGAAAAAGTTAGTTCAAGCCACGAGCACTGCTGTCACCCAACCGACCAAATTTTCACCTCACAAACCAACAACAAGCACCACAAGGCTGTCGATCATCTGGCCGACGGTGCGTCTCTGACCGTTATGTGCAGTTTGTTGGCTCACAGATGCACAGTCGCGCATGACACAATTAATATACCGATAAGTAATTCAAAAATACATGAAAGTGAGCCAGTCACTACAAACAAAATAGAGGAGGACACACTTTATTTACAGTCATCTGCGGTGCTGAAAGAAAAAGATGCATCACCTGCGTTATTGGATGATATCACAACTGTTTATTATTCTTTGAAATAAATATCAGTGACATTAAGACCTAATATTAACTAAAAGTTAAGATTTTTTATTTATTTTTTTTTTGAAGAGGAGACCCTTTCAGGAAACCCCTCTCTGGAACACACCCCTAGTGCATTTATAAGTCGTGGCCACGCATTAATATCTAGTGGGAACGCATTAAGTATATCGTGTTCAAGCAATATTAACTCATAGCCACAAATTAATATCTCGTGGCCACGATTTTTTTTCAATGTCACCAGACGGGCTCCGTAGTTTTGTCCAGTAAAAAAAAAGAAATTTGATCGCAAACTGTGGCAGAGGAGGAGCCAGATATTGGAGCTTAGCCCTGATGCCGGCTATTAGCCAATGGCTAATGTGAATGCAATAAGACAAATAAGGCAAACTTTCATGAATGTAAAGAAAACATATCAAACACCAGGACTGAAATGGTAATGGTTCAAAAGCAGGACTTCAGAACTGGAACTGATGCAAAACAAGAAGACCATGCATCACAAAAGAGCCAGGGCTTCTGAAAAAACAGCTCGGGCTCAAGCCCCATAAAATCCCCGCCTTACTCCGGCCCTGAACTGTAGTACGGTTAGGTACTTTGGTGTTGGAAGACAATGGATCCAGCAGCCACCACCAGTTTTCCATCTTTCTAGCTTTTTGGTGTTTTATGGTCTCAAACAGTTTTTTAGAATTACGGGTTTTGTGTAACAATGGCTTGTTATTCCACGTGTCTATGAAAACAATGCAGTTATTTCACAACTATGACCTTTGATGCCTTGATACACAGGCTCCAAAATGTAAGGGGTCTCTTCTATAGAGTATGGATGGTTAGCGCCAATATATGGTTAGTACTCTGCGCCGTACATAAAATTATCAAAAATAAACCATCACCATTCAGCTGAAAAGTTTTTATAAACAGATTACGAGTGCTCATCAAGTCAGGATGGCCGAGCGGTCTAAGGCGCTGCGTTCAGGTCGCAGTCTCCTCTGGAGGCGTGGGTTCGAATCCCACTTCTGACAGGTAATATTTTTGCCTGGTCGTTCCTTTAAAAATGAAGTTAGTCTTTTTTGAGACAGCAATACGACCCCCCCCCCCCCCTCCCTCCCTTATCTATCTGTTTGGGGTGACGTTTAATACAAAATCACAGCATTCAGCTGAACAATAAAAGCATATTTATGACAACCCTCTAAATAAAGTGCCACATATTTACGGGTGGCAATCGATTTCGAACCGGCGTATTCATTACTTTTTGGTACTTTACATTTGAAATACTAGTACGTTTATGAGTGAGGGGGTTCATACGTCATCGTGTAAATAACCAATCAGGGTGGTGAAGTGTTCCCAAACACGGAAGTGCTTCTGACATTAAAAAGTTTAAGAACGTTCTCCGGCAAGTAAGTGCAGGATATGTACGATTCTGATTTAAAATAGTGAAACACAGTAACGCTGTATCATGAATTTTGGCTGCTACCTTTGATGTGTCGCTATCAAAGGTGGGCTGGAACTGGCAACTTTTCAAGAAGAAAAGCCCTTCAGCTCTAATTTTCCTCAGAAATATGAAGGTTATCCGCGTGTTTTCTAGCTTTGTTATTGTTTTCGTTATAATTAGAGAGCCACGGGAAAATTAATTAGATAGTATTTCTATGTACTTGATGCATAAAACAAATACATTTGTTGCAAATAGCGCCCCATCCTGGCACATCCTCATGTGTTTCTCCCTGCTTGTTTACCTTCAAGCCATGCTTCTCCTGATTCTGCTCACTACCTTTGCTGCCCTCTCTCTGGCCGTGGCAGCAGTCGTTTGGAGAGACATCAGCTCCAAGGTGAAGGGTAAAAACCGGACGTTCATCAGCCTCATTCTGCAGTATGTTGAGATGAAGATGGCCAGCCGGATAGGAAGGGGTCAGAGACAGAAACTAGAAACTGATACACTGAATGTGAAGAAAGTTCAAGAAGAGATTCTGCTGAAGCGACTGTCTGAAAATGCAGACACGTGCTATGGGAGACAGTACAACTTCTGCTCCATTAAAGGTAAAGAAAGACATAAACTTAATATGTAAAGGAAAACAAGTCATCATACCAACAGTCAACACAGTGGTGGTAGTGTGATGGTCTGGGGCCGCTTTGCTGCTTCAGGACCACTTACTTTAACTGATGGATCCATTAATGTTGCTCTACCAGAACATCCTACTGTAGAATGTCTGACTGTTAACCTTAAATAAGGTGTCCATGCCGTATAATACGCCAAAGTGTAAAAACTATTCTGCTAAGTAGAGTAGGACACAATTCATCCACAGCAATATGAGAAGTTCTTTAAACACCGCTGTTGCTGCTAAGTATGTTGCAATCAGTTATCAGATATTGAGATCAGTTACTTTTTTATACAGGGTCATGTTGGGTTGGACTACTCCTCCCCCTTAAAGCTGTTATAGCAAATCTACTGAACAAGCTAGGTTTTGAACGCAAACACGGTCACAGAACACTCACTCCTCACCTCTGGTATCTTCCCTAAGCATCTACCAGAAGCCAAAGTCAAACGTTGCCAGAGGACCACCAAATGTTTCATGCAGCTCACTGCTCCCCCAGAGGATTGGCCAAATGTGGAGAAGAAATTTCACACACCAGTGTGACAATTAATGGGACTTTAACTTTTGAAACGAGAGAGCGCGGAGAACAGTTGCTATTTTCAGGTCCAAACGTCTTTTGTTGTCCGTGACTTCAAATGGTGTTTTTCTTTTTGGGACTCTGGTAGTTTGTCCTAAAGTGTTAGCAGCCGGCTGTTTCTTCTTCTCTGATTTAATTGAGCGGAGAACCTCTCACACTAGTGGTGTTCTGTTGCTAAACACGTGAGTGTAATAAATGGAGGACCCAGGGAAGTGCAGCAGTTTGGCGAGACCAACAACCGGATGGTCTAATGGTCACTTTTGGTTCATGCCGTGTTATTGCTGCAAGTTTTTAGACAAATGCGAGAGAACAAATTTTTTTCTTGATCTCCACAAATATTTATAGCTATACTGCGCTAGAACGTTGTAAAGAGGCGTGAAAAGAATGTTTCAAGCTAATTTTTCAAATTTGCCAAGTATAATATGCTAAAATTATTTAATTACTGCAGATTTCAGTGCAACAGGCCTGCAGTCACTTAGAAAAGTAACAGACTAGGTCCTAGGCACCAGAATTGTGGCTGATTCTTTGAACTGTGAATGAACTGTATACCCTGACAGAGTGAGATGTTAAAAATAAGCATAAAGATATCAGCCAGCTCGGCTGCACAATACCTTAAGACTGACGGACGGAATATAAGGTAGGGGTGAAATTCTGATCATCGCTTCTTGAAAGTTGAAACAGAAACAGTTTTCAGCAACTGATTCTGTTCATTTGTCTCATCAGGTGCTGCTGATTTCCGAGCCCGTCACCCTCTCACCACCTACGAGCACTATGGAGAGTTCATCAGACGGGTTGCAGCAGGAGAAGAGAAGGTGATTACTGCAGTGAAGCCTGAGAGTCTGGTCATGACCTCTGGTACGTCAGGACCCAGCACCATGCTGCTCAACACCATAGACACCACCAGAGAGCTCCACCTGCAGGTGAATCGGCTGCCTGCTAATTCATCTATGTGCTCCATATTTAAAAATAATTATGTATTTGTTATTTCCATCAGGGTGTAACTGTGTGTTTAGTAGTCATGCAGAATGCTTTTGCTGAAACTAACAGCCTTCAGCGCACCACCAAGTTCTTCTACACCCCTGCCTCTCGCCGGTCTGAAGCCGGAATCCCCATCCGACCAAACTTTTCCACACCAACCTCATCCCACTACGGACGCACACTCAGCCTCTTCACAACTCCTGCTCCAGCCTTTACGGTACGATCAGTAAGTCTGATGAAAGGTGAGTCACTTTGTTTGATACTTGTGTGTAAAATGTTCCTGTTTTCATTCAGGTTCTCAATGAGAAGGACATTCTGTACCTTCACCTCCTGTTTGCCCTCAAAGATCCCACAGTGGGAATACTGGAATCCAGCTTTGCTTCCACTGTTCTCAATGCTTTCATAGTCTTAGAGGTACGCGTCTGGATGTCCTGAGAAACCTATATTACTTTTGCTGTTTTAAAATATTGTTTAGTTTATGAGGTGGCAAATGTTGGATTCTGGAAAAAAAAAGATGAGCACCTTGACGGCTGCTCTCGTGGTCTGCCTGTATCTGTGTTTTGTTCTACGTGTCTGTGTGTTTAACTTTAATCAGGATGTGCCACAGAGACACATTCCTATGCTTCAGGACGGTTGGGGCGATGACAATAAAGTTGATTCTAATTTTAATTCTGAAATCACAGAAGAAAAATTCAGCAACAACCATGAAAGTTTTTATTTAGCATTTGCAATATGCATTTAGACAATCTCTGTAAAGTACATCAGGTCGTATTAATCATCATCATGGCTTGAATTACACACACACTTCTGGGGGAGCCTCGTGAGAAGGCCGTAAGAGCACGTGCGGGGGGTGACTCAGCATTGTTCATGGTTCTTGAGTCTGTAGAAATCTTCAGTCCATTATTCAAAACAAAATGTATATTATTTCTAGTTCATTAATAAACGATTAGGGGACAAATTCCTCTAATTTCCTCTCGTTCCCGCAGGAGCGTTGGCAGGAGCTGGTGGAGGACATTGAACGTGGGAAAATTAGCAATGCCTTGTGTCTGCAGCCTGATGTGAGAACCAGACTGGAAGCTCTGATGAAGCCAGACCCAGAGAGGGCTGCTCAGCTCCTTGCCCACTTCCATAATGGTTTCCAGGGGATTGCTAAGTGTGTGTGGCCTCAACTCCACCTGGTGCTGGCGGTAGACTCGGGCACCAATCAGATCTATGGTGAAATGTTGAGGAAGGGATACTGTCAAGGAGTGCCTTTTTATTCACCACTTTATGCTGCTGCGGAAGGTAAATCATAACAGCATCGCCTCATGTAGCCAAGCTGTAGTGGCAGAATGACTGGATGGGTGAAACCAGCCTTGTTCATAGAGCTTCTGCTCTTTTCTGTTGTCCTTCTGTGTTTGGGCCCCTGCAGGTCTGATAGGCGTGAACCTGTGGCCTGATAAACCTGCAAGACAATACCTGCTGTGTCCACGCTCGATGTTCTTTGAGTTCCTGCCAGAGAGCAGCCTGGATGAGGAGTCGCCTCAAACTCTCTTGATGGAGGAGGTGAAGGAGGGGGACAGCTACGAGCTTGTTGTCACAAACGCCTCAGGACTTTTCAGGTCTGGTTTCCTTTACCATCAAGCGAGGAAACTACTGTTTTTGTTGTTTGTCACCCCAGTGGACAGCTGGTAATTTCATCTGACAATGAACATGTAAATGATCGTTGCAAATTAAGCAGGAGTCACAAATGAGTGAAGGGATCGTGTGCTGTGATTGCTTTGTAGTCACGATTAGGGTTGTAATACGAGTTCATCTGATTGCACTCAGGCTGGAATGAGCTGCATGTCACAGACAATCATCTTCAATCCCATTCGGTTCATCAGACAGTGTTATGGTCTCTTAACCTGAGACAGGAACATTAGAAAAGCCTTATGAGACCATCATTTGCTGTGTTACAGATACAGGATTGGCGACATCGTGAAACTTGTTGGATTCCACAACCAGTGTCCCATCGTGGAGTTTCAATACAAGTAACATCCCAGAGTAAAACACGTCTCCTGGTGTATAAACTGTACATGCATGACATGTTAATGCGGTCTTTGCCTCTATGTTTATTAGACGGGATCAAATGCTGAATGTTCGAGGTGAGAAAGTGTCTGAAGCGGTGTTCCTTGGTGCCTTAAAGAAAGCCGTTGCTCACTGGCCCAATGCTACGCTTGTTGACTACTCTTGTGCTGAGAGCAGCATCTTGGGTAACATAGTTTTACTATATCATTTGATTAAATCCTCCTGCCATATATGTGGAGCATGACGTTACTGCAACACTGCAGGAGACTCCACAGGTTCCTCCGACCCTCACTACCAGGTGTTCCTAGAGCTGAAAGGTGTGAGGAATCTAGCGGACACGCAGCGATCCAAGGTGAGGTTTATCATAATCACTGTAGCGGTTGCTTTTACCCATTAAATCTGTCTTCTCCTCCAGCTGGACATTTGTCTCCAGCAGGACTCTGCAGTCTACAGGTCTTTCCGTATAAAAGGCAGTATAGGCCCGATGAGGGTGCAGCTGGTGGCAGCAGGTGCTTTCAGGGACCTTTGTAACCAGATGATGACCTACACCAACACCTTCAAAATGAACCGCGTGCTGCGCAGGAAAGACTACGTAGACTTCCTGTTGGGAAAAACCGTCTCCTGAAACGAGACAGGAAGTGAGCTTTAAGCCATGACTGAAGTTTTATTAGATGTTGAATACACCTTTGGGATGTTATTCAAATGTTTAATTTAATCTCTGACATTGAAAGTATATCCAGTTTCAGAAAAAAATATGATTTATAAGGGTTTGTTACCGTTGAAGTATCCAAACTGTAGCCGAAAATTAAGCTTTTTCTTGGAAGTTTGATGATGTTTTTTGTTCTCAGCTGTATCTCTCTCTCTCTCTCTCTCTCTCTCTCTCTCTCTCTCTCTCTCTCTCTCTCTCTCTCTCTCTCTCTCTCTCTCTCTCTCTCTCTCTCTCTCTCTCTCTCTCTCTATATATATATATATATATATATTTATACAGTACATGTACTTTGTTTTATTGTATCAGATTGTCACAAACCTGTTGAGTTATGGAGAAGAAGAAAAGGGCTGGAGCACTCGGGTCAAAGAAGAATGTTTAATCGGTGCAGATAAAACAACAATATCTTTGTCAGTGTAAAGAGGTGTAATATGTTGCTTTTAAGCTTAATATATTACCTTTACTTATGACCAATAAGATGTGATGTTCTATATAAATATAGAATATCAACCTGATTGATCTTTGAATGTTTAATCAGAAGAATTAGGATTCTTTGCTTTTTGAGTGATCAAACACACTTTGTATTAATTCAGACAGTAAAGTTTATAAAAAGTAAGAAATTTATTTTCGAAACAAATTATAACAAGACAAGTTATAAATTAGACGAATGTGATGGATGAATCTAAGAGGATGGAATGTGGGGGGTGATGATGTGTGAATGTGATGTTATCAGAACCCTCGTATCTGAAGAAGCGGAGATTCGAGTGTGATTGAATTTGGTCTGCATTAAACTAGGAAGTTGATTTCTAATAAAACAGCATCGGACGCAATCTGTCGTGCCTATGTACTCAAGATAGGAACCCCCGTGGTAGATCCCCGGAATGTTGGGAAACTGGACCCCTAGGTACCGAAGTCCGCAGGATCAACCGCAGTACCACTAGACCGGTCTCGAGGTGTTCCCGGGTCACAACAGCGAGAAGGTTGGTTGCGTCTAAGATGGACGGACTCTGAAGGAGTCTTGGCTGTGTCAGCTTTGTTCTGGGAGCAAGTTTCTGTGTCGCTGCAGCATGTAACAGGTTTTGACAGCTTGTCAAGAGATGCTGTGGTTAGAGAGTTCCTCCGGTGGCCAGTCCGGAGTTTGGCTCAAAAACTAACTGAATCACTCAGCAAGTGATTCTGTTTTAATATTCCCTTATTGTGATTACATGGCCAACCAGGATGTGCCACGTTAAGAGGTGTCAACAAACAAACCTCAGAACCACACCTTTCCCAGATACAGGAGCTCTGATTTGTGGATCAGAAAATATCTATGTGCAGTGACGTTAACTTTAACTTGCATCATGGAGATATGGTGAGTGTGTGCTTGTCCAGTCACTTACGTAAAATATATGGGTCATATATTTCATTTCATCCTTATTAATTTAAGCACAGATTAATCAAAACATTTCATTTAACCATATTGTTCATTTCATTTCATGATTATTTAACTCATATGAGCTGAAAATGTTCACTTTTATTCAGAGGCTGGAGGAATCCTGTAGAAGCGATTTGGGGAAGCTTAAGGCCTTGAAACGGGAATGCTGTGTGTTCAAAGCGGCAGAGGCCTGGACTCCAGCTGATAGAATAGCAGGATACAGCAGATTAAAGGCACTAGATGTAGACTCGTGTCCATATGACCGGATACTGAAAAGGTCAAACTGTAGATGAAAAACTGACCATTTCTGGTGGTGATCAGTAGACAGCTCCGCTTCTCTCTTAACTCGGGTGTCCAAAACATACGGCCGCAGGTCAGATGATACGACTACAAAGTCTATCATTGACCTGCGACCTACGCTGCCCTGGTACCAAGTGTACCGATGGGCGTCCTTATGTTCGAACATGGTGTTCGTTATGGCCAAACTGCGGCTTGCACAGAAAGTCCAATAACGAAACACCACTCGAGTTCAGATCAGGCGGGCCGTTTCTTCCCAATCACACCCCTCCAGGTCAAGCTGTCATTGCCCACGTGAGCATTAAAGTCCCCCAGCAGGACAATGGAGTCCCCTGATGGAGCACTATCTAGTACTCGTCCCAGGGACGCCAAATGGGTGGGTACTCTGAGCTGATATTTGGCCCATAAGCACAAACAACAGTCAGGACCCGTTCCCTACCCGAAGGCGCAGGGAAGCTACCCTCTCATCCCCCGGGGTAAACCCCCAACTCAAGCAAGAGTCTTGGGGCAAACAAAAAGCCTACCCCAGCCTTCCGCCTCTCACCCGGAGCAACTCCAGCAAAGGAGAGTGTCCAACCGCTCTCAAGGACTTGGGTTCCAGAGCCAATGCTATGTGTCGAGGTGAGTCCGACTATATCTAGCCGGTACCGCTCAACCTCTGCCACAAGCTCCTGCTCCTTCCCCGCCAGCAAGGTGACGTTCCATGTCCAAAAAAAACAGTTTCCTTGTCCGGGGATCGGACCGCCAAGTCTCCCGCCTTGGTCTGCCACCCGATCCACACCGTACCAGACCCTTCATGTTCTTCCTGCGGGTGGTAGGTCCACAGTTGGATGAGCCTGGCCCCATGGGCAAAAGCCCAGCCACAAGGCACTTGCTCACGGGCCCCAGCCCCAGGGTGGGACCCCGGTAACCCTCCGGGCCGGGTACTCAGACTCTTTGATTGTACATCCATGAAAGATCCTCTGAACCGTTCTTTGTCTCACCCTTCACCCAAAACCAATTTGTCATGGGAGCCCTACCAGGGGCACAAAGTGCCCCAGACAACATAGCTCCTAGGATCATTAAGGCACTCTAACTCCTCCACCATGATAAGGTGACGGTTCAAGGAGGAGTGTCACCACCTCAAAAACAAATTTAACATGCGATCGTTCATGTCGGCTCATTTCCTTTTATGTTTTCTGTCTTATTTGTGCCTGATGCTTTTCGCTGCCGTGGAGCAGGGCACATCACCTGTTTTGTCCTCTGGTGACGCACCTCACTGATGCGGCCGGCGAGCAACGCGCACTCCGCTGTTTTTGCGGTCGGTAGATCTTGTAGAACTGCAGTTCAAAGGTAACTCATGAATATATATGAAGCCAGGTAGCAGTCTTTCTTTAGGATTGAGAGGAGATGCAGGAAGATAATAAACAGGCAGGACAGAAAAATAGTCAAATAAAAACAAGTTTGTTTTTGTACCTGGTGGTTGCAACAAACAGACACCATTGAAGGTAATCAGAAGTGAGGAACAGAAAATTAAATAATTATTTTAATGTTTAGAGCAGCAGGAACTCTGAGAGGCTGCAGGCGCATCAGTGAGTTTGCGGCCGCTGCGCAGGGGGAGGGGGGAGAGGGCTGAAGCGGAGCAGTATAGATGCAGGAACTGCTGTTGTTAAAAGAGATGTGTTTAACTTTGAAAATGTGGGCACAATTTTAATTGTCAAAAATTCCAGCGAATAACCGACCCCCCGCGCCGCTTCAGGTGTATGATGTCATCAATAACTAGTCAAAGTCGACTCAATTTCCATTACTTGACTGTTGACTTTAAAAAAATTAAGTCATGCAGCCCCTATCTCATCGTGTACTGTGAAATAATGTAAGCAATACGTCTTTTTATTTTATGCTAAGCACACCCCCTGCCTCCCAGAGCTCCGTTCAATAGGAAACTGAGCGCTGACCAGAACTAACCAATAGCGTTAGACTATCGCTTACTTGCTTTAAATTTAAGGAATACCTCGGCAGATGCAGAGTTGATGAACTTTTCAAGGACAAGTAAGTCTCTGAAATATAAGTTTATGAGAAAACAACATGACATAAAAATATTACTTGCAAAACAATGTGTTCAAGCTCTGTCGGCTACAGAAATACATTTACAGATACGTGAAGTTGCCACCTTAAAAACATAGGAGTGTGATATGCTTGTTAGCCACAAGATGGTGCCATCAGATGAGAGAAATACTCCAGAAAGAAGCTTTAAACTGAAAATGAAACTTATCTCCTTGCTGTGTGTAACATCTTAATCTAACAGCTGAAATGTCTCCCCAGCCTTCATTATTGTCTATAGAATTGATTCATCACCAAATTAAATAAATCAGCTGTGTTCATGATCTAAAACATGTAGGAAATGTGCAGGAAGCAGACCAGCGCCAGGTATGCCAGCTCAATTTTTTCTAGGTGCAACAGAATGCAGCCACCACTCTGAAGTTGCAAATGCATATTCTGGCCACAGGGAGTGTGGGTGTCTGAGTGACATTTTGTTAACCCTTTAAAGGGTCATATTAGCACATACTGGTTCAAGAAAGGATTAAAAAGTTGCATAGTATGGCTTTAAGATTGTAAAATATGTAAATCACTTTTTCTGTTCCACATTTACAGTTCACAGTGTTATTCACATCTCTGGATTAAACCGACGTTTGGAATTATTACCATTTAAAAATGAAAGGGGACGCAGTCACAACAGAGCTTCATGAGTAACGGTCAACATTTGAGGTCCTGCTTTGTTTTTAGGGCCCTGCAGGGCATGCTCAGGTTTTAGGATATCTGTTTGTTTTATAATTTTATCTGTGATTGTCAGCTCCTTGGGCCTCCACAAAGGTGGTGGGAGGTGCTATATAAATAAATAATGATGATGCTAGTTCAAACAACATTTTTTTCACTCATGATGATTATTTTCTCCACATTTGTATTATTCTATTTTAAAATTAGCTACTATTTGTACACATTTAAGTAAAAGTGTAAAACTTAGAACTGTTCTTTGACATCTCTCTGGAGCTTGTCCTGTTTTTATGGCCACTGGGAGGTGCTAGTCCGCCTGTACAGTATCCGTCAACCTTCCTGTTTACTGTAGCTGAGCTGCAGTGTTTGCTTGTGTAAACAATCATCTGTTGGTCACATCTCCGACAGTTAAATGTTCCATTTCTGTGAGCAGTCAAGCCAGGGAAACCAGGAGCACTTTTATTTTTCATGTGTAAATCACAGCTCTTTAATACTGACCAAACCAAACGTCCCTGTTGTTAAATAAAATTTTAGACAAGGTGCACCTCTGCTCCTGTCTGTGACTGCCTGTACTGTTGAGCCTCAGCCCTGCAAGTCTTCATAAAGTGGGCTAATATTTTTAGAAATGTCCTATTTCTGCACGTTTCACATAGTTCTCTCTGTATTTACAGTCCACAATGGAAACACTATGGATCATCTGAGCATCCGTTGATTTCTGAGCTTTAACCTCATGTGATGAGTTGTCACTTAACAACAAGCTCATGCCACTGTGCATGAATATTCAAAACCTTAAGTTAAAGTATTTGGGGCATCACATGTTTTTGTTTATTGTTAATCTGGTTTGACCAGTGTGGGTTTTTCTCAGTCTGCTGTTGCCTCCACGTTCCTGCTAGATGTACAGATGCAGAAACACTTTGAGCACGTGATCACACATCTGCTCCCGCACTAGCTAAGTCAGTGTAAACTGCCAGGATCTGAGGATGACAGGCCAGATTCCTCAATGAGTTTGCTGTTTAATTCAAAGGAAGGATGGTGACTGCTGGCTGAATTAAATCAGCCACAGAGCTGCTTCAGCTCTCAGGATTAATGCAGATGAGTTTCGTTGAAAACTAAGTTGATAAATGCGGCTTTTTTTTTCATAGTGTCTTCTTAAAGAGCTGGGATTTATGGTTGTTGTAGTTGGGATCACATTTCACCTGACCCTTTGAGCATCATCACTCAGTCATATTAGACTGCAGAATTGATAGTGAGCATGTTTAATGCATAAGCCTCTTTATTAGAGACAAGCAGAGACAGACGAAGTACAAGAAGACGAGACAATGAGAGGTCATTAAAAATAGAAAGCAGTGAACGTCTGCCAAAGCCTGAACCAGATCCTCGAGGGGGGAACACTTCTCTAACAGCCTGCAGGATGGTATTCCTCTTTTACCCTTTTCTCTCAAAATTTTCTGAAGGCTTCATTTTATGTTTCATTTGTTTTAACCGTATAAAGCAGGAAAACACCTTGCGTTTCTGATTGTTTGTCTGATTGTTTTCTTCATGCATTTGGGTTTGTCTGAGTTTGTTCGTTAACCCTTTCATCATCCTCAGGGTCATTAACAGCCCATGTTTGACCTTTGTGCTGCTGTTCTGCCCTGGTTTTGACAGCAAAGACTATGTTGTCTCATCTGATGCATCACATCCTGGTTTTATTCTTCCCCGTCTTCTTCTTCAAGACATTCTTCATCTTCCAAATCAAATGTGCCCTGCAGGAAATCAGGAAAGAGTTGAGCTGTGGCTGGAACACAGAGAGAACGAAGGTGTGTGTCAACTGCAGCACATTTAGAGACTGAATGTTGATGTTTTAGTAAATAATGAGGTATATCATGCGTGAAAGTGTGACTAATTTTAACTTTGTACCTACTTTTCATGAATGATGAGTGTGATGATTGCCCCTTTCTAGTACTAGTGCCACTTTAAAGTAGCAAAGCAACATTTAAGGGAACGTAAAACACAATTCTGGGTTACTTCAGATCATGCTCGTTGGAGCCTTTTTATAACTTTCAGTGGTTAGTTGTTGTCAAGATCAGGAAAAGTAGGTTTATTTTAGTCAGAAGAACGTCACAGTCGATCAAAGTCCTGCTTTTAGGTTGCTCTGAGATTTGTTTCAGGGTTTTGATTTCTTGATGAAGCTCTGTCTTTGTTGGTTCGACCCTTAAAACTCCATATAAATCATATAATCAAAGCTGATCCTGACTTACGTAATAACGCTCTCATCATCTTTAAATCCCTACAAAAATATTTAGCCTCTCTGGCATTCTGCCATTCTGCCCTTTGTTCTGAAAAAATAACCATGTTTAAGTAAACACACCAGCAAGTGTGTCTCTATAGGGCTGACACATCTAATGCTGGAGTTTCTGGAAGAAAATTAAAAAATAAAAATATTTCTAGTATGGTTTTACTCCCTCTGAAGCTTTTTCTACTTGTTCTGATATTGTGTGGTTCTGCTTTTACCTGACTCAGGTTCATTGATCATCGTGTTAAATATTTCTAAATAAAACATATTTTTAAACAATGAAATATTCATCATAATTAATATTTAATGACAATCAGATTAACTGACTTTACCCAGGGTCATCTTTCCCTGATAACAGTAACTTTAATGAGATTACGAGTGTGTTACCGATGAGCTTCTCCAGTGCCTACAAGTGTTTGTTCTGCTGTTTGCTCGTGTCAAAGTGATGTTTGGTGAGCTAAGTCCTTGTGGAAGCATCTTCAGACTTATCCCTTAAATCCACTCTTTATCTCACAGCTTTAATTCTGCCTCTGTACGCGACAGGGCAATGCTGAGCAGCCTCGTGAAATCATCCAACTTTGTCACAGACATAAGACACAAAAAGCAAGACTCCCCATGGCATACCAGCGCAATGATTCTCGGTCCAACTTGGTACAATAGCTTTCCATGGAGGCAATCCGTCTTTCCCTGATTTGCAGACCAGCACACAAAAGCTGTCGGCTGATAGTGGCATCGCGGGGTGTAATGGTGCTGTCAGATGCTCCATGAAAGAACTCTGCCTCCTCCTTTTCACGCACCTCTCCCTGCTTCGTCTCTCTCCGTCCCTATACCCCCACCTCAGACAAGAGCAGGTCCCCACAGAGGATACCAACGTCTCATTGGCTGGCGATGCACAGGAGCGGATGAGGAGGGGAGAGAGCTCAAGAAGATGTAACTACTCTGCCACAGCATCCTCACAGATCACTGGGCTGAGGGATGTTACAGACGGGGACACACGCCAGTGGTCCTCTGTTAAAAGCGAGGCACAGCAGGATCACAACTGCTCAACGGAAAACTGCAGCTTGGCAACACCTGGGACTGATCTTCCCACTTCTTCTGTTCCACTGAACCTCTGAAATTTCGGAGTGGACGATATTAGGATGCTCTGCTGTCTTGCAGAGAGGCGTCACTTTGAAGAAAGTTGGCTTCTGTCTCTGTAAACATGTGCTCCTACGTCCAGCACAGGATCATCCCCCTGAAAGTCTACTGCACCTGCTGAGACATCCAACAAGACACCTGCGGAGCACCTGAGATGGTGTGACATCCAGCCAGCTGTTGGCTGTCCCACATCTGGGTGAAGATGCCTGTGATGAAGGGCCTCCTGGCCCCACAGAACACCTTTCTGGACACCATCGCCACACGCTTTGATGGCACCCGTAAGTACAAAGCTTTTAGATCGGCTTACAGACAACCTGCTGTTGAATTAAGTAAAAGAAAACAGAAATAATTCAGCTGATTTTGGTGTTTTTATGTTAAAAAGACATTTTTTGTGGCTCACTGATTGCCAGCTACTCCATGTCTTAGTTCTTGGTCTGTGTTTTAGGGTTTTGGATCTTTTATTGTGATACAAAGTCAAGCGATGCCCTTCACAAAGCATTAACAGTTGTTTCAACCATTTTGTTTTAAAAAGCCACTGCAGCCTTTAGGCAGCACTGTCATTTCTGCTTGCATTTTGGATCTTGTTTTGTACCTTGTGCGTCCTCTGGGAGCCTGCGGCTTACTGTAAACACACGCTGTGGGGAGGTTTGTGTTTGTTCGTGTGACGATTCAGCTTGTACTCCCTCAGGTGGTTGCAGCAGCCTGAATGAAAGTCTCTCTCGTAGTGATTCTGAGAACAAAATCTGCTTTTCAGAAGAACTTGTACAGTGACTATGGGCCAGAGTGTATCTAGGGTGTGGAAACAAACTCACATAATACAGAAAGTGTCATCATTTACAGTAGATCTGCTCCCTCAGAGCTCTCAATAGTTTACCAGGAATTCACTGGACAAGTGTCAAATAGAAGATAAATACTCAGTGTTGAATTCTACTTCCTGTTCAGGTGACAGCAACAGCCTAAACAGGCACAAGTGAAACTGGAAAAATCTGAATCTAGTGCCAAAGTTAATTAATGTCAGTTAATTATCGTAGACTGAGAGACCATCTAAAGGCTCAGGAACCCTTTGCAGGTGTTCTGGATTCATTGGCTGATTAGAGCGTGACACTTTGAGTCTAGAATATTGAACCTTTTCACAATAATCTAATTGTCTGAGATTTTAAATGTGGGGTTTTTGTCAGCTGCAAGCCATAATCATCACAGTTATAACAAATAAAGGCTGAAATATCTGGCTTTGTATAAAATGAGTCTGTCTCATATATTAGTTTAACCTTTAAGTTGAATTACTGATATAATTGACTATATTCAATTTTTTTAAGGTTTTACCTGCAAACCCCCTATGACTGAGTCATGTATGTCTCTTACAAAACTGTTTCAGCGCTGAAAAAGCAGCTTTAGCTCTTTAGAGGATTTCTAATTTGAAAATAACAGAATAAGTGTATTAATAGGAGGAGCACTTGTATTCAGAGAGCAGCAGGGTCAGCAATAGGAGACATAAATGGAAACGATTTGCCCATGGCTGAATATTAAGGTTTATTAGAAATTGTACAATCATGACAAACACGTTTTGCTTCCTTTGGAGGCATGCAGGTCTTTGTCAAAGGGGGTTAGTCTCCCTTTTCTCCACCCGCCATTCCAGCCCTGCACATGAGTGGAATAGAATAGAATAGAATTGAATTGAATACAACTTGGGCTGCACAGTGGTTAGAGCTGTTGCCTTGCAGCAAGAAGGTCCTGGGTTTCGCTTCCCAGCCTGGGATCTTTCTGCATGGAGTTTGCATGTTCTCCCTGTGCATGCGTGGGTTCTCTCCGGGTACTCTGACTTCCTCCCTCAGTCCAAAAACATGACTGTTAGGTTAATTGGTCTCTCTAAATTGTCTTTAGGTGTGTGTGTGTGTGTGTGTGTGTGTGTGTGTGTGTGTGTGTGTGTGTGTGTGTGTGTGATTGTTTGTGCTGTGTGTCTCTGTGTTGCCCTGCGATGGACTGGCTCTCTGTCCAGGGTGTACCCGCCTGATTGCCCATTGACCGCTGGAGATAGGCACGACATATGAGCTGTGCATTCTGATGAGTGGTCTAAAAATCTCAAGGCACTCTGACACATGAGGAATGGTGTAGCTGATGTGTGCACAAGTTTGGGCTCCTGCAGAGACGAGCTAGAAGACGAGGGGTCGTGCCCCCGTGTTTCTGAAGAGTCCTTGAGCTGGACAGGGACTCCCTGCATGCAGTGGAGCGCTGCTCTCTGACTGAATCTCTTGCTTGATCTCTTAATGCTAATGAGCAAAATATCTTCTGGGTTTGGTGTTTTTCCTAATGTGTAGCACTGTTTCATATTCATTAGTACCCTGAACTGACCAAAAATAGCTTCCGATCTTTTATTAAACTAAACCCTGCTTCCAGTGCCTTTAAATCACGGTTGATGTTAATGTCTGGAAACATGCTGAGCTATTCAGAGTACTAAAGTGTCAAGGACTCTTCCTTATTCACATCTTGTGGCATTTCAGTCCTGCAGCTCTAGTTTATGAAGCTCTGGAAATGAGCTTCCAAAAGCTACAAACGACATGCATATCTCATCTTTCTTGCCTAGCACTAAGTAGCACGGTGTTTATACTTCCCCTGCATGTTTGAAACAAAATAATCCAATACTTCAATCTGGGCTGAATCGACAATGTAAGTCAAACGAAGACTGGCAGCAGCAGTGCACTTTCTGCCTTTCTTGAAGCCACCACAAGGCTGTGGCTCCTCGAGGAGTGGCATGGAGCCCAAAGCTCAAAATAGCTTCCTTCCTGTTGCCTGGGTGACAGGGTCCCGCCACTTGACATGGATGATGCTTGAACAATTTGGTGTTTTAGAAAAAAAAAGATGGTCCACCAAAGGGAAAACACTTGAGCCTGCTTTGTAATCAAGGACTTTTAGACAGCAGCTGGTCTCTTGTTTTAGGCGGGCCTGTCTTAGAACAAGCACCCTTTGTGAGCAATGCAGATGCAGTCTGTGTTCAGTTCAGAGGCTTCAGCCTGCAACAGGTAGAAGCTATTGTCTAACAGTAGTGGTTAAAGTTGGTATTTATTAATCTTCTTGATCTTCATCCTTATTGAATGTTGAAATGACACTAGACGGTGTGTTTTCTGTGAATGCAGGTGCACACTTTAAAGTTAAAGGTGTGGTTTACTGAAAAAAACATTTTAAATGTATTTTTGAATATAATCAATCACTCTGAGTTTTTTTTATGCAGGCTGAACATGAAAACAATCTCCTACACCTATCTCCTGCATTAGCTTCTGATAGAAAATAGACGGTGAAACTCTAGGATTTGAAAACCCTGACAGATCTTCGTCACGCTGTGCATTAGCATTCATAGACTCACCCATCTTGACTCATGACAGGGAAGACTGATGTTGGTTTAGCGTCCAGGAAACGGCAGCGGACGTCTCGGCTAGTTTAATCTAACTGTTAGCATTAGCAATGGTTAGCGTTAGCAACTTCACCTGATAACAGAAGTTCTACAGGCTTGTGTTATTTGCGGAGATAAAACACCCATAATGCAAGTCAGTGGAGTCATGTTGCTGTTATCCAATCTGGGGCAAGATGTCCAAATATCACAAAATAAAACTCAAAATCCTGCCGTCTTAAGCTCAGCTTTGATGTTGCAGACCTGGCCTGCTAAAACAGGGGTTTGTGGGCTATTTTATGCCCTGAGTTCTGCCTGAAAGGCATTCATGCATTCTAGAGACCACTGCAAAATTGATTGAATGCGTAATCAACTCCTTTAAAGCATGTGTAAATAAGAATTTGTAACATCAAAATGAACTTATGTTACATTTCTAGGGGCATGAAACTGAACACTTAATGGGGATAAACAGCAACCAGATAAATGTGATTTTAAAAAGTCAACACATAAAGGTTTATAATAAAAATGGCTGTCAGATAACTGCTATATGCTGTATTATTAGTAATGATTTGTTTTATACAATGAAAGATTCATGTAAAGCTATGTTTAATCTAATTAACACAGAAGTTTTGTTAAACCTTGAATCACTTACTTCTTGATGTTGCCATTATAAATCCAGAAGAAGCGTCATAATTTCGCTGATTGTCTATACTCTTCTCTGTAATGATTTGTTTCTAAAATCATGACATCTATCTCATATTAATCATCTATTGAGCCGTTTTACCAGTTGCGTTTTCTTCAGGCTGTCATCATGTATAACACTTCCCGTGTGCGTCACTAGGTTAGGGTTCCTCAGGATCCAAAGTATAGACTTGATACCGTTTGACCTCAACACTCATGAAAACAAAGCAATTTGGAGTTGATTTTAATTTAATACAACCTGGAGGGAGAAAATTGCACAAATGAATCATGTAACTACCAGCCCTGCCCTGCAGGCTTGTGCTTTCTGTGTTGATGTAATGAGATCTGTGATTGTAGGTTTTATAGGCTTTTGTTTCATGATCTCTGAAGGGAATTTCTCAGAAGTCAAAGGTCATGATGCTCAGTGTTTACTCTTTTTGTTGCTTCCTAGCATGAAACCCACAGTTCCCAGAATTGCACTGGCACATTCTCTATGTTGTAAGTTACAGATGACATGTTTGTTCTCCTTTTACATCCATTCTCACCTCCCCAGACTTGCTTACATGACCTACCTGGCAGCATTTTCATACTGACAACAGTTCTCATGCTGTGGGGCAGCGTGAGCACATTGCAGCTGCAGGCAAAGATAAGAAGCGGGTTTATTTTCTCCTAAACTTGGCCAGTAAAACCAACCAAAAGGGAGAGGAGGAGTACTTTCAGACTGAACGTTACGGAGCTCTTAGTTATCCAAGAACTGATCTGAAAATGCAGCTGCAGAAACACATTTGACTGGAGACCTTTATGTTTCTTTAACGCCATCAGCATTTAGTTTCACTGAAACATCGGAAAAGGGAAAAGTCCTCAGATGATACTTGAGCGTTCTCAAGGTTGAGTCCCCAGGTGCATGTTGGGGGTTTTATTGAGCAAAATGCTGAAATAAATCTGCTTTTAAACTGCAGGTTTCCTCCACCTTTCACAGCAGCTCCTCCTCCACCGGTGTGTGGATTTAGGTATGTGTGGGTGTGAGGCTTTGTGAAGCACTTGTTCAGATGGGGAAAAAAAAACACTACATGGCTGCACTTGTTTCAACTTTTGCAGGATTCAAATCCAAATGGCCAAGCATCATGAGCTTCATTCCTGCATCACACTGTTATGATGCGGCCTCTGTGTTGTTGCTAGCATTAGCATGCAGTCTTATACTGTCAGATTACAGTT